CTTAGAAGAAACTATTGGCTCACTGGATGCAGAAGCAGACAGCGGGGTCTCTACTGACGACACCGACTACGTGGAGCCCTCCAAGCTGCCTGGGACGTGGCCTAAGAGAGACTCCATTCCCCGGGGTAAGCTGGAAATCCGTGCTCCAGCCTTGCTTGCAAAGGGGCTTTCTCGCTGGGGTGCGTTCCCATGACAGGCAGGGTAGGAGCATTGCCCCAGTTTTATGCACGTGGTAAGCTAAAGCCAGCTTGTTTTCATCACTCTGTGCTGAGAGGTGGCTGTAGGCAGCGAGATAGGTAGGGCACCAACTGCATTTTCCCAGTTCTCGCATGCAAGAGCTGCTAGCAGCTGCCAGCAAGGTCAGCAGAACCACAGGGCAGGGCAGAGCACCTTTGCTCAGGTTAACAAGACTCCTCATTCACTGTGTGCTTTGTCAAATCCAAAGTGTCTGACTTTCTTAGCTGTGACAGCATATTAGCTGGGGTCAGGGTAAACTCTCTGGGTGCAAGTACTCTGCACTGGTTCAGCAGGCACGAAGAAGTGAGTCTTGTCAACAGGAAGGTGTCCCGTGTCCATCTGCAGAACAGTGCATGACTTCACATCTCTCTTTGCCTAGATTTGGAAAATGGGGCTCCCCCTCCGAGTGCAGGTCAGCAGCATGCAGCGGAAGCGGTAAGAGCATCTCTGCCTTCTCAAGCTCGGCTCCTGCAGCAGTTCCAAGCCCAGGCTATTACAGTCTTCCAAGGAGCATCACTGTAGCAAATGCACAAAGATCAAACGGAGCTTCTGATGGCAAAGTGACTGTCTGCACAGTGGAGGACCCAGTAAGTAAATCTTCACAGGAGATGGCCAAGGAGGACAGGCTTGACCAAGCCAATACCAGAAGCCAGAATAAGCCCCTGGGGTCTTTGATTATCCAACCTCCAGATCCCTTCCAGGATGACCTGGTGAGCCATGAGTGGTCACGTAGCAATCGCTCAGATGCCAAGAGGGAAACAGCCAAGGAGACCAAAACTTGGACTTCATGGGGCCAGCCAGAGAAATCCACGTTAGAAGAGGCCCCTCAGGACCCAGATGCCAAGCGTGGGCCTCCAACTGCCCCCAAACCACGAAAATTGCCACCAAATATTATCCTGAAAACCAGCAAAAACAGCCCAGTGCCACTCACCACAGAGCCCGGCCAGAAGGTAAAAGCACCACCTCCATCCTCGGCCGGCTCACAGCCTGGCTCTGCCGGTGATGCCGCTGCCGAAAAGACAAATTCGGGGCATCTCGACCCCAAGGAGAGGGAGAAAGCCCGGCGGGAGGCATTGGAGAAGCTTGGACTGCCACAGGACAGGAGGGAGCCCAGCACCCATCTTCAACCTACCATGCATCCCCAGCCAAGGGAGATGGCATTCCCCGTCCCTGGGGAGCCCGAGGCATGCTGTGGAGCGGCAGAGAGGTCGGTGCCAGGTATCCGGCAGATGAGCTTCAAATCCAACACCCTGGAGCGCTCCGGCGTGGGGCTGAGCAGCTACATGAGCAGTGCCAAGGAGCAGAGCGTCAAGACCAGCAGTTCCCTGGGCAAGATGTCCTTCATCGAGCGGCTTGCCCCGAGCTTCCTCAGGAGCAGCCGCCCCCGGCCAGCATCCCTCGGGGCAGGGAAGGACTTTGCTGGACTGAAGGAGCCTGGGCAGGTGGAGCAGGAGAAGAGCATCAAGCGGCAATCCCACCCGCTGCAGAGCTTCCCCAGGCCCTCCCGCTCCTGCATCAGCGTGAAGATTTCCCCCAAGGGCGCAACCGATGAGAACCGGCGAGAGGCACTGAAGAAACTCGGTCTGCTGAAGGAATAACTCTGCGGGCGGCAGGGCTGCAAGAAAAGGGGCTTTTCATCCTGGATCCAGGTGCCTTCACTCTCTGTCCTCAGGCAGCACAACCATAAGCATCTTCTGCTGTGATCTCCTACTCCAGCATCTTGGGAGGGGTACCACGAGAAGTATTCAGAGCTTCACACCAAATAAAGTAACGCCATGTGTACATAATATGTTGTATATAGCAAGCGTATATGAGCTATTTATATAAAGCATCACTCAGCATGTGGATGGGGCATATTCTCCTACAAGGTCTTTAATGCATTTGTGGATTCATTGCAGTGGGGAAGCCATGGAATTGGGGGTTTGGCTTATTTTAAAAGGGGTTGCCTGTGGATAAAGCCTCTCTGGGAAGAACCGCAGGACTCTGCTGCTCCTTTAGGATTTTTATGGATAAAGTTAACAAAAAACCAAAGCCTGCGAGGCCTGAGCACTCACTTGCCCATGCAAGTGCCTCCCAAAAGCCACAACTGCCACATACAAAACTGCCAGGCTGATGGGAACCGGAGGGGGCTCAAGCAACGCTCCCTCCGTGGACAAGTGCTCCTTGTACAGCACCTGCAGGCAAGAGGCTGGATGGCTGCACAGACATCCCGCTGCCTCCTCCGCCAGACTGCTCTCACATCCAGCCCTGACAGCCTGGATATAGCACTTAAGACATACATGCATCCATGTTTATCATGAAGTGACAGGTAAGAAGCGATAGACTGCGTTTCAGTGGGAAAAAACAGAAATGCTGCCCAAAACAAGAGAGATGCAAATCTGAGACACTACCATTTCATTCCCTTTCAAACTCTCATTGCATCTTTCAGACCCAGCTGATGCTGTCAACATTTATGCTCTGCACCTTTTACAACAGAGGTGGTTCATCTCTGTAATAAACTTGTATATTATCAGAAAATGACTGTGTAATACAGATTTACTCTTGTGTTAAGTCAGAGCTCTGGTAAAGCTAAATAGTGAGTTTTAACCTTCAATATAACCTTGATTTGAGGAGTGAGTGACCCAGACAGCAGCCAGGCATTGCAAATGATGAGGTCTGAACCAGAGACTTGGGCCTCCTGCAACCCAGGAGCCACACAAGACGGGATTTCATATAAGTGCTTCCAGTACAATAAGCAGATGCAAAGTCTGCCACGGCAGTGCCAAACTGGAACCGGTGACATGGGACCTGCCACTGCTCCAGTCGATCCCTTCCAACCTGCACCATCTCCTGGGTCTGTGGGGCCATCTCCCCCAGCAGCCATGTTAGTTGAAAAGCCACACTAACAACTTAGCTTGAAAGGATCATTTTAATTTCTTCACCAGAAAAAAAAAAAAATCTTTCATGCAATCCCAGCTTTCAGTGTTGGACATCTAGAGAGGGCCTCTGCTAATAAAGCAAGCGCCTTTGTTCCTAACAGGCAATTTAATTTGGAATCTAACATAGGCTTGCTTTAGAGAGAGGGGCTGACCCATGCAGGCAATTGCACTAAACAATTTACTGATGTTAATTAACTGCTTGCAGCATTACCATACAGTTGCTCTCAATCGTTTTCATCACTAACCTTGCAGCACAATCAGCTTTTAAAAGCAGCGTTGTGAATACTAAACAGGCTCATACTGACAAAACCCAGAGCCAGGCTTCTAATTCCTCTCCAAACAGGCATCGGCAGAGCTTTGATTTTGCATGGAAAGAAGGGGAGGGCATCCTTCTGCAAAAGCTGCATCATTTCTCAAACCCCCATGTAATAAAGGTGTACACAAGTGGAGGGAATAGTACTGACCCACGTAAAGAATCCAAGGAACATGAGAAAATGATGTCTGATTAGCTACACTTCATGAAAGCAGGGAAATGCTTCTTTGTGGCCAGGCAGGACTGGCAAGCTGCTGCGTGGCTGCACACCATGGGCAATAACTGCAGCCCGGAGCCCCTTCCCCAGGCACGGGGATGGCTCTAACCCAGCGCCGCTGGGGAAGCAGCTCTGCCACGTGCCTGGGGCATCGCCAGTGGTTTAAGGAGTTTGTGGAGGTTAGGCAGGATTAAGGCAGCACTGAAAGCTGGGCAGGGTGCAGATACTGCCCTACACGCCGCGCTCTGGGTGCGAGCCTGTCCCAGCACGAGTGGGTCACGATAAACACGGCCAGAGCTGAGGTCCCACCTGTGCAACCTGGTCCACGTGGCCTTGGGAAGGTGCCTCTGGGCTAACGCATGGCCAAAGAGCAAGGGGGCTGCTCCGCACTTACAAACTGGGTGCTCGCATGCACGCCATCCTGCCCCCCTCCTCCCCAGCTGCCTGCTTGTGCCCAGGGCAGGGGCCACCCTGGCTGAAGCAGGAGGCAGAAAGAGCAGCTTGGCTTTAGGAAACCACTCCCAGATGCTGCAAAAAGCTCCGTGAAGCTGAGAGGTGGCCGTGCTCTCTGCGAGAGCAGGATCCGTCCATCGGCAGCAGGGCTTGACTCTGGGTGGCACCAAGCAGAGTCATGTGTCTGCTCTTTCGTAAGGTCCCAGCCCAGGAGTCACACCGCCTGCGGGGGTAAACACCTTCGTTTCTAATGGCTGCAAACATATCTAGCCTGTAAAATGTCATATTTTGCCTGCAGGATTAAACAGCAATGCCTGCTTTTGGAACAGGGCTTACCCACGATGAGTGATTCAACCCAGAGGACCCAGCAGCAGCAGAAGCACTTTGCCCTGTGGAAAGGCAGAGATCTGGAGTTCATTCCCAGAGGAACGACCCTGATCTCCTGTGGCTGTTTTAATTTATTCTCTTTTGTCTCCATTTCATACCAACCAGGCCATGGGCACAACTCCTGCTAACGAACATCACTCCACCCCATCATAGCTTACTAAGCAATCTTTGGAAGTGAGATTTCTGCTAGGAAGTCTAATCAAAACTTAGCTTTCATGCTTAACATATATGTGACACTGTAGTAGTCCCTGGTTTTGAATAAATAAGCCAAGGAGTGGAAGGGAATCCTTTGTTTCCAAAACAATCTGTTTTTAAGAGAAGTTACTGTTCTGTTTCAGGCCAAAAATGCTTTGCGAGAAACCTTAATGCTCTCCTCCTCTCTCATCAGATAAACAGGGTGAGATTACCTTTGAGACTGCAGTGGTCATGTATCTACATTATGCAAGTGATGTGTAGTAAAACAGAGCATTAAGTAGCATAATGCTGGAATCAGCAGCAGGTAAAAAGGAGTGGTCAGAGGAGAGGAGCATGTGGATGAAATGCACCGTAAAATCACCCTCATTTTCATTATACAAGGAAGGATGAGGAATAAAAGGCAAATCAACTGCCTACATATTACTATTCCTGCTAAAACTACAAAGTCCACACAGGTTTGGAAGAGAGTAGAAAGCTCAGTCCTGACAAACTTATCCATGGGTGCCAGCTAGGTTTTTTGTCTCTATGCTATTTCTACATGGTGGTAGTGGCTGGGACGGGGAAGATGGAGCTCTGCTCTCACAGGAGGAGCTGGCAGCCCTGAAGGAAACAGCTTCTGTCTCAGAACAGAGAAATTTGTTCTAGAGAGGCAACGGGCCACAAAAGATGGAGCTACCAGACATCTTGCAAGAACTGGCTTCAGAGGGCTGGCCCCTTCACTCAGAGCTTAACCTTGCATCTTCCTCTCCTCTTCCATTTATACCGTGCTCTCCGTGCCTTTAAAATCAATCATTTGCACTTGAAAGTCTGCAGCCTGAGGAGTGCAGCGCTGGGTGGGAACCTCTCCTGCTGCCTGTCTGCACATCAGGCCGGTTGAAGCCTGCCGGTTCACACGGGCAGCACCACATATTCCCCCTTTTTGTTTGCAGGAGGAGCCAGGACCCAGCATCAGTCAGAGCAGCCCTGCATTTACAGTCACCCAGGTAATTGCTCCCCAACGCTGGCCCGCTCCCTCCGTGCCAGGCAGCAAGGGCCACAGGGAGCAAAGCTCTCCTGCTCTGGTGTAACCCATAATTCACAGACTCAAAGGAAGAGCTTTACCTTTGCTCTAGCCCAGCCCGCATCTCTCATCAGCAGAGACTCCAGCAACGAGCTGCTCCTCAGCCAAGTGCCTGTGGGATCCCCACCATCACCTGATGCAAAAGGAGCCAAAACAGCCCCAGTTTGCAGACTGGCAGGAGCCTAAGCAGGCTGATGAGCCTCTCTTTTATAAGGGGAAAAGCTGGTGGGCAGTCAGATGAGCTGCTGGCTGCCGCAGCTGTGCTCCTCCAGCCCGCCGGCACTGACACAGCTGGTGCAAGGAGCAGCAGCAATGCTGCTCTTCTCACAGAGAGGCAAGGGAGAGGCTGCTCCTGCCTATTAATGCCTATTAATGGCTATTAATGGCATTTGGGGGTGCCTGGGAGGTGGACAGGAGAAAAGCAAGAACGGAAACAAAATCCACCTCCAGGTTCAGCCAAACTCCAGCTGAAGTTCCTGGGCTCTTATTTGAGTACCTCCAAAAGCAGACTTTGTACTACTTAATTTGGGGCATAATTTGCTTGATTTGTGCCTGGAAGGCAAAATCACAACAGACCCCAGCCAAAAAAAAAGCCATGAAGAGAGATCATAATATTTCAGAAGTAACCTGAAGAGTTGGTAAATGTATCCTGAGCGCCTAATGCCGATTATACAGGCTGTGTTTACGTAGTGCAAGGATGTTAGAAAAGACCCAAAGAAAACACTCAGCTTTGCATTTTGCATGGAGTATTCATCCCCCTCTTAACTATCAGTCCCATACTGGCTCAGACATATCATTTCCATGTCTACATGAGCCTGTCAAGACCTACTATTCCAATTAAAAGCGTTCTTGCACACATCTTTCATTACAAAGATCAAATTCAGGAGAAGTGGGTTGTTAAATTCTGACAGTATCAAAGAACATCAGCTGTACTGGGCCACAGTCTCCAGGAGAAACTGGTTGTCTTAATAACAGACTTTGTCATCGTGCAGCAGCTTCGGTGTGGGCGTCAGCCGGGAGCCTTGGGGCTGGTGTCCCACAGGAGGTCGGGGAGG